TTTATGTGGCCCTCAAGGCTTTAGGTTGGGCAAAAGTGCCCCCTGCGGTGGGCCGAATCATTCAGGTCTTCCCCTGTTCCCTACCGTCCCCGGGTTGAAGGGGGATAAACGGTTGGCCGCCCCGCACCAGCGACACCGGCCGCGGCTCGCCTCCACGCGCCGGCTCGGAAGAGGGGCTGTGGCGGCGCAGCAGAGCGGCTCGCCTCGGCGCCTCGAGCCCGCCGACAGCCCCCATCTCCTCGACGTGACGGCCGCTCCCGGAGCCAGCCGGTGCGCGCCCGACCCACGCCCCCTCTCGCACCCCTCCGACCCCCCCTGCGCGGCGAGGCGTCGGTGATTGTTTTTGAGGAGGACGAGAACACACTGCCGCACTTCAAAGACATCTTGCTCACCGTCATTTCCAGGGTTTGCGGCTACACGGGAGAAGGGGGGTTGATGGGAAGGCGAAACACAGTCCGACCAACGACTGGGACACCAACGCGGGGCGCGGAAAAGAGGAACCTCGCGTACCCCGTGGGCCCCGCTCTTTCCCTCGCATAGCGGCCACTCTTCGGATCGCTGGTCGAGCGACCCGGGGGATGCCCCGCGCGCCTGATCCAGGCGCGGAAAACGAATCTGCGAGGCGTGGCCGCACATGCGGCCCGATGGGGAGGAACGGGGCGAGCCCCCTCCAACCCACCCGCGCTAGGTCTCGGGTTTGACGCATGGGGTCACTCCCGCGAAACCCGTGAACTAGCCGGGGCAGTCGGAGAAGGGGCAACTCCGTGCACTGACGGTCGGCCGTCAGAAAACACGCCTCCGTGGCTCGGGTTACACCAATCCTCGCTACCCAACGCGGCCAAAGGATATCCACCTCGAGAAAGAGGGACGGCCGTACTTTGCGCGTGCGCGCCGCCTGCTATGCGCGCGCCCGTCCCGGCGGAGCGAGCGCCCGGCCGCGGACCTGACCAGCCTCCTTCTGGGCCGTCCTCACTGGCTTCCGCCGCCGCCGTCGCCCTCGCAGACCCGCCCGCCATGCTCGCCGCAGCGCCTGCGCACACGTCACAAGCGCCATTTCAAGAGCCCACAGATCCGCCAGCTCTGGGCGAGGGCCAGCCGGGCACGTCAGCTCCCACCTTGCAGCCGCCGCCGCAGCAGCCCTCGCAGCCGCCGCCGCAGCAGCCCTCGCAGCCGCCGCCGCAGCAGCCCTCGCAGCCGCCGCCGCAGCATCCCCCCCGCCCTACCGAACCACCCGCCGCCCGCCCATGCCGACTTCCGCCCTCCCGCCGCCCTCCCCCCTTTCTGCCCCTCCGCCTTCGCCATCCCCCATCTGTGCATTCCACTCCGTTCGCTCCCTCCCGCTTGGCGCCCATCCCGCCCTCCGCCCGCCCTCCCCCCTTCCTGCCCCTCCGCCTTCGCTATCCCCCATCTGTGCGTTCCACTCCGTCCGCTCCCTCCCGCTTGGCGCCCATCCCGCCCTCCGCCCTCGCTCTCCGCCCCTGCCCTGGCTGGCCTGGGTGGCATCTCCCCATTATCACGCGCCAAGTGGGAGGGAGGTGGACGGGGCCCTGAGCCGACCTAGCCCTAAACGGAATGGGGCGCCCAACACGTGCCCGGATTACTGTGCCTTCCCCGGGTGCAGCCTTTCGGCTCGTGAAGGGTCGGTGCGTGTCGTGATCCCCTGGAACACCCGTACTCTCCCGCGCCATCTCCGTCGCCCTCTTCGGCTGCGGCCTTACCACCAAGATCGGGAGGCGGCCAGGGCTCATAGACTCGGTCGAGAGACCCCAGATTGGCATCCATGCCTCTCTGGACAGGGTGGCCCGCCACAACGACCCCTGGAATTGCGACTCGCCGCTTTCCTCCCGCTGTGATTCTGTGTGAGCTCTGTGTCTTGATTTGCCAACAATATACCTACGAACACATAACCTGGCTGTGAATACAGCTGGTGCCATGATTAGACATGCTGTCTCGCCGCGACGCTGCGGCCCCGCCCTGGGCCGCCTCTTTGCTTCAACGGCTGCGGAGCCGCTCGCGCCCGCCACAACGTGCGTGCGGCAGGGCCACGAGCTCGACGTCTCGAAGCTGCTGCCCCTCCTCGCGGACGCCGGCGCGATCTGGTCGGCCGCCGAGAAGG